CAAATACTTGATTGTAAATCATAAATGAATGAAATCTGCCAGATGGATCTTTCTAACAAAATACTTGTTGGTTCCAGACCAAATAAATTCTAAAGAGTAATCCCAGATTCAGTTTGAAAGAAATAGAAAATAATATATAGATTTGGATTTTTATATTATCTTTGTTTTAGTTGCATGTATTTTGTATGTAAATGTTTTACCTATGTTGCTGTTGTCAAGATATATAGTGGTTTCTTATAGATCTGTGTAAAATATTAAACTAATCTGGGGGAGAGGACATAGCTATTCAAAACAAGGTAAAAAAACAAGTAAAATGTTTTTAAAGAAAAGGGTAGTATGAATAATAACTCACACACACACACATGTTAAAGTTTTAAAGTGTGCTATATTTATGGGATAAAGTGCTCAGTATGAGAGATAAACCATATGTAAATATAAAATGAACATTGAAGTCAACACTCAGTGGCCACTTTAGATAGATAGATATATATATATATATATATATATATATATATATATATATATATATATATATATATCTAACACTTTTTGTTGGAAGTCTGATACATGAGTGCAACCTAGTTATTGCATTTGTCACATTGACTTCCTAGAGAAAAATCACTTTCTGATGACTGCAATCAATGGAGTATTGTTTGCAGACAGATACGAAGTGAACATTACCTCAGATAAAAACCTTGGCATGGTAAATCTTTGCATTTATTTGACAGCAAAGCTTAAACTTCAATAATAACCACTATTATTTTAATTTTTTAAATGGCTTAATTCCAGGATAAAATAATCTTGGCAGGAGTTTTATATATATATATATATATAATTTGTCACTTAACTGATTGTTATATTCAGCACCACGACTCCAGACTTTTATACATAAACCATTTTTGTAATCCTTCGGTCCACTCATCCAGTTTCAGCAATTGATTGTAGATTTTCTCACTTTCATTATTTCTATACAAAGTTAAAAATGAGAGGCAATTGATTTGTAACCTTCCGAAGGACAATGCCAGGACAACTTGTGCATGCTAGTGTTAGAAATTCTGAGATTTTTATGTCTTTGTGGGTAACTTATTAGATAACGTGCATACCAACGCAGTCTCTCTGCAATTAATTTTCAGTATGGTGTCATGTTGTGGAAACTCACATGTCCTCTTATTGCTCAATTAGAGCTTTGGAGATGCTTCAGATTGTGGGTCTCTTCTTCCAAAAGGCTAGATTGTCAATTCAAAGAATTGCTGCACATGTTGGATATGTGTTGGTGTTTCAGTGTTGGCAACATATCAAGTATTCTTCCACTCATAGACCAGGTTCTGGATTGTCACATAGCTTAGAGTCTAAATGCTCGCAAAGATCAGCGCATTGTCAGGACAGCCGTGGTAGATTACATAAATTGGAGCAGAATTATCAACATGGCTCTTTGGAAATTAATTATTTGCTGCTGGATTATTAACATACATACCTCTAACCAGACTTTAGCTTCTAAAATAACATTACCATATACATCACCATGAGTGTTGTGAAACAGCTCAAAGATTAAATTGCGCTCTAGGGTTCGGTAATAAAATCTGCTTTTGCCTTCAAGCATTGTGTGTGATATAAATCTAGGGAATTTACCCACAAACCCAACTGCATGCATGATGTGGAGTGACAAGTCTTGTTCTCCTTTGTGTAGGGAAAACATAAATTAACTACCATATCTGTCCAGAATATTAATCAACCTGCTGCGATTCCTGCAACAAGAAGACTGCTCTTTCAGCAGGATAGTACCTGCCTATGTGATGCCTGTATTACACAGAATGCTTTGAAATGTTTGACAACATCCTTGGCCAGCATGAACACTAGGTCTGTTTCCCATTGTATATGATGGGATTGGATGACAAGTCTCATTCAGTTAGCCTGACTTCGTATATTGGAGGCAGTTGCAATTGACAAAGAATAATATATTTCAGGAGGATATTCACCATCTCTATGGTCATATGCATGTGAGGTTACAGGTCTTTGTGCCCAAAGAGAATAAACAGTTTATTAATATGATCATGGTATCTTTTTGTTTTTATTGAAACATAAGTTTTATTCCTTAGATATTAGTAAAATATCCATAGGTACATGTGGTAAGAAACAGTTTTTTTTTTGGGGGGGGTAAAGCAAATAATTGGTTTAACTTGAAATCTCCTTAGAACTGACCCAAACTTCTTTTCTTTTTTTCTTTCTTTTTTTTCTCTCTCTCTCTCTCTCTCTCTCTTTTTATTTATTTATTTATTAACTCAGTTAAAAAAAAAAAAAAACTTTTATAGGTTTTGGCCTGGTAGCCTCATTGTGACCTGCAGCCATTCTAACATTTAATAGTCCACCTTTCTCATTTGGTATGTATACAATTTGAAGGTGTGGGACAGTGATTTTACTCTTGTCAATTGTCAGGTGAATGCCCCACTTTACTAAAGTTGACACTTCATAAAAAATACCAGACTAATAGAGTATCTTGTTCTGTAGTTATCCAGTTTTTTCTTTCTTTCTTGCTCCCCACTCCTTTTCTTTGTGTGTGTATGTTTGTCTATGGTTGTTACATCTGTGCTGTTTGACTGTTGCTTTAGTTTTTCTCTTAATGATTATCATAATCACTTTATTTCTATAAGCTTGGCTCTGCTGATGTGCTTTGCTTGTAGCAAATATTTTGGATTCTCTTAGTGTATTTTTATTTTACTTTTTTTAAGTTGAGATTCCCCCCCCACATACACACACACACACTCTCAATAACTATGGTATCGGCCATTTTATTTACATAGTGATTTTTGTCAGATATATATTCTTGTGAAAGAAAAGTGTTTTTCTAGTCTGATGTTTGCTGCTATAAAAAATGTTCTGATTTGATAGAATTTTTCCCCCCTGATTCTGGTGTTTATACCCCCCCCCCCCATGAAATGACTCATTCTTAGTCCTCTGTTAGGGTGATGCCTTAAACTTGAAGATTGAAGTCATGATTATTTCATATAGTAAGAGATAGCAGTTTTTTTTTCTTGTTTTGATTGTAGGTTTTATCTCCAAAGTGGGGTGGGTGGACATTCATTATCTTGTGAACCGGAGTAAAATTTTTTTTTTTTTTTTTTTTTTTTTTGAGAAATGTAATTACTTACCTACATTTCTCCCCTCCCTTCCATGAGTGAGTATTAAAAATGTATTTTTCAAATATTTATTTATTATAATTTTGATTAGGTATTTGTTCAAATAATAAATTCACATAGTCTAAATTTGTAATTTGTTGAAATGGGTGAGGTTATGATTTAATTTACTGAAATGAATTTGTAAAGTTTCTTTTTAGGAATTAGCAAACATTCATTTTCTTGTCAAATTTCTCAATTGTAAATATTTTCTGACAAAGAATTCATAAATTTTTAACAATTATCTTCATGTTCTTTTTAACTTGAGCAATATAATGATGAAATAGTTTGATGCTATGGCTATATTTATAGGGTTAAAGTGCTCAATATCTGGCTATAGTGTATGTAAATAACTGTTCCACCTCCAAGTGTTGACATCAATGTCCACCCTTTATAGTCAGGGTGGGGATGTACTAAGCCTTTTTCTAAAGGCCAAACAAAGTATATAGTTTTGCGTGTCCTTTATTCCATAATGTATTTTCTATTTGTCAATGTCAAATGGTCCTGGTAGGGGGCTTAGGGTTACTCTATTTGTACAACCATCATCCCACAAACTATTATACTGGAGATATTTGGCTAATACAAAAATAACTGAAAACTCTCTTCTGCATATTTAAGCCTGCTGATGTTCTTTGTAGATTTATTTCAGCTCTTGACTAAGATTCTCTTCCTTGCTTCCCCAACCCCACTCCAAGGTAAACATGGTCTCTTGCCTTAGCTTTGCTGTCTGTGAGCCTCTTTTGACTAGCATTGGCTCTTCTTCCTCAAGTAGAATTCAAGTATTTTCCTCTTTTGCTCTTACCCCCTTTTGCTTTTCTCTTCTTGCAAAGTAACAATGGCAATTCATAAAGCTTCTTTGCTAATGCAAGAATTTGGAATTATCAGCTCATTAACTTTCTGATCATCTTTATCATCATCATCATCATCCTCCTCTTCTTCGTTATGAATTTTAGAAAGTGCTCCCATCTCCGCTAAAATGTGGCAAATGTTGACATTTCCACCTGTAAATCTCTGGTCTTCATAGAACAGGATTGATTTGAAATGGGTCAAAATCTAAAAGAGGCTATCACCTGTTAAAAAAATAAAAACAATTTAATCATTTTTTGAAAAGCTTGAAGCATACTTTTGGTCAATAAAATTGCTTATCACTTGAAAGCATGTAAATATTTCTGCTGCTTGCAGGTTTTGAGAATTCAATTCATTCACTATCTGAAAAGTCTCCTGTACAAAGATCAGAAATTTGTCAGTGAAATGTAAAAATTTATCACTTGATATATGTATTTTCTTTTTCTTTTTAATTTGTTAGTCATTATTTTTAGTTGAATTATCTCTATTATTAATACCTATCTAAATTTTAAATTTTCTTTAAATTTAGTCAAAATTTTTATTCATTTTATTAATGGCATATCAAAAAAAATTTTCTCTCTCTCTCTCTCTCGAAAACTGGTCTTTTAGTTGGAAAATCTTAAAGAAATACAGCAGTCTGAAAATGTGCCTTATTCCAAACTTGGCTTTTCACAAAATTAGTTTTGACTAACTGATGTTGCAGTTTGCAAATTTTTTTTTTTTTTTTTTTTTTTTTTTTTTTTTTTGAGATTTAATCTGTAAAGAGCCTTGCAACCCACCCACCAACATAATGGTCATGCATTGATGGGAGTGTAAAAGAGATTTTGAAGATCTATCTATGTACATGTTTCTGTAAATGGATTTTCAATGTGAAAACCAGTTTTCTAAATCTCTTTACTGTCACTTCAATGGATAACTGGAGCTTAATTATTAAACTAAAATAATATTAAAAAAATCCATTTGTTCAGGATTGGGCTGACTCAAATGATATTCTATCATGCGCTATTTCTTCGTTTTTCTCTGTTGGGTGTGTACCCACCTTCCATAGATCATAGTCGACCTCAACCTCCCATCTCGTGTGCTGCTGACCTCTGGGACGTCTTCCTTGAATATTCTCCAGGTAAATTTTCTTAAATATTCCTTCCTTTGCTAGCACGCAGTACCTGACCTTCCCAGCGTAGTTGTTTTTTTTTTTTTTTTTTTTTTTTTCTCATATGCTTGGACAAAAGTCAGTTATATTGTTGCTATGTGCTATTCCTCTTTTTTTTTTCTTTTTCTTTTTTTAAAAAGGGGAGAATTTTTTTTTTTTTTTTTTTGTTCTAGGGGTTGCTTCTGGCAGGGGAAATATTTATATATCTTGTATTTTAACTATCTCATAGTTAATTTATTTAGTTACCTTCTCTCTTATGTTGACTTTAGTGTTGGTTTTTTTTTTTTTTTTTTTTTTTCTCCCCATTTCACTTTAAGAGACCTGAATGCAATTTGCATCTAGGGGTTTTCTTGTAAATCTTCAATTCACTCATTCCTGAAGTTTGTTTTTTGTTTTTTTTTTTTTTTTTTTTTTTTTTTTTTTTTTCCCAATATTTCACTTGAGAGTTGATGGCTTCCATAAAAAAAAAAACAGATTAAATTGCATTAAAAATGTCCACTCTTTGTTAATTATACTTTTCAAGATAAAAGGAGTGACTTGATAAAATGCTGGCCTTGAAGTGGGGCAGGGAACAAATAGAGCATTCACTTGAGACTAAGTAGCTTAATGTCTCTTGGGAATTTTCCCCAAATTTTTGACACATTCATTTTTGTCTACCTTATGAGGTTATACAAGAATACATATTGGTTGCTTGATGGTTTAAGAGTTTTTTGTTTTAAATCTTCTAAGTAAAAAAAAAAAAAAAAAAATACTAGGTATCAGTATAGGTATTTCATTGTACTAGAGATACTGTTCTCTCCCAATCATATTGATATCTTTAAGCCAGATAAATTTTTTTATCTTTTTCAAGTCAAGAATTTTTGGATAATTTTTTTTTTAATTAATTCCTACAAGAAAGTGCTCCATGCCTACCAAGATATGATCAGGAATGCCCAATATCGGATTTTATGTTCATCTAATACTTTGTGAGACATTCTAATCACTTTAATTATATATATATATATATATATATATATATATATATATATATATATATATATATGTGTGTTTACATGGAACACTTTTTGTAGTAATTTTTGTCTTTAACAAAACTTTTTATAAAGAGGGATTGTGTGTGCAGCAATCTCTTTTATACAAGTTTTTTTTTTAAAAAAACAACTGACAAGATACTGTGATTAAGCTTTTTATTTTTCTTGTGTTCATACAAGTGTTTTCTTTTCTGGACACAGTTTATAGAAGCTGTCCAAAAGTTCTGCACTTTCGACTATTCTTTTAGCCATTATCAAGGATGAGTTGTACAAACAAGAAAAATTAAACAAATGCCTTAATTGCAGTGCCTTGTCAGTCATCTTTAACAGAACTTGTATAAAAGAACTGCCCAAATACACATTGCTGATTCCACACACACACACCTAAATAGTAGACACAGATTTGCCTCAGAAACAGGATGCTGAAAGTAACATCAATCAATCGACAAACTTTTACGCAAATCTTTTATTTTTATATATATATATATATTATATATATATATATATATATATATATATATATATATATATATATAATATGAAGTGAATCCTTTTTATTTAGGGACAAATGACTTTAAATATAGAAAAATCTTTTAAAGTAACTAAAAAGCTAATTTAATGGAGGCTGCCAAATAATACAAAAAATGTTTGGTATCAGCAACATTTTCTTTCTCGTTTGCCAATTTAGCACTATGGAATAAAGGGGATTTTTAACAGCTGCTCCTCCTGCTTAACACATAGCTCTTTGCCAGAATTGAGCGTTCTGACTCCTGGTCTAGCATTTATATGCATTATGTATATAATTCATTAAAGGATCCCCTTTTCTTTGTCATACGCTGATAGCTTAGGGGTAGAGTCTCTGACTGATGCCAAATCAGTTGAGTTTCAATCCTGGCTTGAAGCAATCTGATATCTAGCCATACCGAGTGGGAATTAATTTTGATTTGGTGCTCTCTTCAAAATCTATAAATCTTTATAATAAACATATTGATTGCTCAAAGCTGGTAAATTCAAAAGTACATTGAAGTTGGAAGTGTTTCAGAAGAATATAGTATTAAGATTTTGTAAAAGTCAATCGAAAGTCTCTTTATCTCTAAAAAGAATGGTTCTTGAATCTGTTAAGGAGTTTTATTTTCTCCTTCATATTCACTGTAAGTTTCATGATATAAGTATTTATTCTAACTTGTACCCATTTCTTAAACATTTTCCAAACACAACGCATGCCTCAAAATCTGTTCAAGTCTCCAATCATTCAATCAGGTTCTGACAAAGGTCCACTTCTAATTTGGAAAGTTTTTCTTTTCTCCTGCTTGTCTAGAATTATAAGTTGAGTTATCATATAACTTTGAAACGGAGAGCAACAAAATGTTTTCAAATAAAAACTTTTGTAGAGGTCAGTATTTTAGAAAATTGACAACTGGTTTTTTGTTTGGAAAGGGTTTTCTCTCTCTCTCTTTTTATATATATATATATATATATATATATATATATATATTTTTTTGGTTATATGTAAAATATATTCCTCTTTTTTTTGGTTCCTGTAAAAGTTAACTCTTTTGGAGGCAGATGATATTTCATTGCATATGTCTTGTTTGAGTCAAAGACCTTCTCTTCTCAAACTTGCTTGATATTTTGAATCTTTAACTTTTGGGACTTTTCAAGAATGACTTAGTTTTCTATTTTTAAATAGAAATTATTACTTGGTTGATATTGCTGATCCTTAGAGTTAAACTGATTTTTAGAAAAACTCTAACTCACAATTAAAAGGTTACTTTTGTGTGATAGTGGTTGATTGTGTTTTTATTTATATCTTATATGGTGTCCATAAAGTCTTACAATTTAAAAAAAAAAATCCATTACAAAAACAAATGAACAGATAAATATGTGGAAATTGTTACAAAATGCAGAGTAGATATTGAAATTTTATTTATTAATTTAATACACTTCTATATGGGTGCCATTAGTTGCACAGCAATGGCATCAGTGATCTTTTCCTTTAGATCAGTGAGGTCCCATATCTTTGTTCGATACATAATATTTTTAACATAACCCCATAGAAAGAGAGGCCAGTGTATTGGGCCATCCCTTCCAATCCACCCAACTGGAAATGTTAGGGGTTCATTTAACAATACATCTTTCATCAGTAGGATGCCTGAAATATGCAAATGCAATCTATAATTTGATAATTACTGAGTACATAGAATAAATCTGATTAAGATATCTCATCAATTGCCTTTGTAATATATATTTTAAATTATAAAGAGACTTTATGGACACAGTGTATTATACTGATTAAAAAAAACATCTTGTTTTTAAAAAGGTTTTAGAAATTCTTGATTTTTTTTTTTTTTTTTTTTTTTTTTTTACATGGCAAAAAGCTCATCTTAAATGTATTTGTACTTTGTGCTCAAGTGTGTGATTTATGAATTCATCAAGAAAGTATTTTTAGTTTATTCAACTTCTTTCTATCATGTTGATACCAAAATGCTATGTGGGGGAGGGGATCTGCTTATGCTGCTCCCCCCCCTTATTTTTGTTAAGGGTGATACAAAAATTGATTGACTATTTTGTTTTTGTTTTTTTTTTTTTTTTTGTTTTTCTATAGAGAAAACATAACTACTGACTTATCTGCATGAAAAGTCAGTCTTGTTTTGTGGGAAAAAAAAAAAAAAAAATTATTTTTTGCTTGTTTCTTTGCACCTCCATATTTTTATTTTTTTCATTTGTCACAAGTTCTTCATAGACTTTTCAAATATCCAATATTATGTTGGTTTTATAAAAAAAAAAAAAAAAATCATAGTAAATGGCTCAAAGCAAATTCCTTTAGATGTATGCACTTTTTTCCAGTTGCCTGCAGAAAATTGTAGGAATTCACATTCTACTTATAAACTTTATTACTCGGATATTTTTGCTCATGTTCAACCCCACCCCAGCCCCACTGCCAAAATGTTTTGTTCTGATTAATTTTGAAGACTCTTAAATAATAAAGTTCACACTGAATTTCCAGCACACTCTATTTTTAATATATACACTGCTAGGCTACAATTTCAGTCAAACTCTATCTTCTATTTGGCATGTAACCAGCTACATATATACACACACACACAATTTGTCATTTGCAGTCAATAGGTTAATGATGATAGGTTTTATATGAAGGTTATCACATTACAGGAAAGCCTCTATAGATATTTACCAAACCAAATTTTGTCCAGAACAGACCAGGGAAAATGGTAAGATGAGAAGTTGTTTTGTCAGTCCTCAAAAGAGTAGGACCTGGATTTAAAGGCTGCTTGTTAACAGAAAATATGCAGCTATTTAAGCTTGTAGACAAATGTTCAGTGTTACTACTCATGGATTCTGTTCAGAGAGTCTTTGAGATTAACTTCAGAAGGTAAGAAATCCATTTATAAAGATTTTGTTATAAATATATATTACTTTATTTACAAATTAGCAAAGAGTAAGCTATATCCTTGAGGATGTAGTCGTAAGATGCAACAAAAGGCTAATGTTTCTGTCTATATTTCTGAGATGCATTATTACGTACACTATTTACATTGTTCGGACTATCGTCCTCATCTTTATTGCCATATTTATCACAACATTTCAAGGGTTGAGTTTGACATTCCAACCACCTGAAGAAGACCGGAGTATACAACAGCCGAAACGTTGTGATAAATATGGCAACAAAGATGAGGACGCTAGTCCAAATAATGTAAATAGTGAAGACTGTTTGCAATACACGTCATTTAGAATCAATTTGTCAATAATAGGTGCCAAAAAGTTCAGTATTTGGATTGTCATATTTAATATTTTCATTTTTGCCTTCATTTTTATACATGTTATCTTCTGCTATCCATGAAAATAACTTTCTTCTTCCCCCTGCTCTGTTAAAATTTGATTTTTTTCAGAATTATTATCCCAGCTGTCCAGTGTTCGGAGTCGAGCTGCTGCAGCCCAAAGTGTCTCTTCCCAGTTGCAGCAGTTGGAGATGCAGTTGCAGTCAACTAAGTAAGCACTATTGCAAATTTTTTGTACATCTACCGCAACAGCAACATGCACTTAACTCACTCTTCCTGGTTGCCCTCACCATCCCCCCCCCCAAAAAAAAACCAAACATTCCCTTATAAAGGTCTACCTCATAGATTTCCCTCCTCCCATTTTTATGAAACTAGACCCATCAAAACTTCATCAAGAAACCAATCTTTTATGATTTTAGCTAATACACATTATTTGCATGCTTCTCTCAACATGGTAGCTCCTGGTTTTGGTATGTTTGCATTCAGTATAGACTAAAAATGGATCTACATTTGCATATTGATTCAGCTCTAATTATTTCACACTAATTTTTCTTCATCTCCTATACCACTTTGTATGAATGTAGGTTTTATTCTTTGCTCCCTTTTTTTCCTTTTTTTCTTTTCCCCTCCCTCTTGTGACAAAAAAAATCTTGTCCATAGAAAACACATCTTGTTGTCAACAATGTGCTCACCAGCAGGTTGAAATGCCAAGAGTTGAATTTGGATCTCATTATTTGGTTGGGAGTTTGCAACTTCATTTCATAAGTAAATTTAATTGAAAGGATTCATTTGTTTTCTCTTCTTCCAATCATTATTTAATTTAATTTCAAATTAGTTTTTTTATATTTTTTTTATTGCTTTACAAACATAATTATACAAATTATGGCTAAACTTGTTTTTTTGAAATTTCATAAAGAATTATTATGAATTAAATATTGGTAAAATTGATGTGAGATTTTTTTTTTAACTAAGTTACAGGACGATGAAAATTTGGGTATATCTCTCATGGTAAGCAACAAAAGGGTAGTCTATTGCTTTCTATATTATTTTTCAAATTAGAAGGTCTTCTAAAAACCTATTAGACTTTTCTTTTTGAAAGATTGGCCAGTATGATTATTTTCCTACAATTGCATTGAAGTGACTCTCTCTCCAATCAGTGCCATGTGATTATCACAAACATGGCCATTGATTGTAATGTGATAGACAAGCACAAGTTCAATGTCTTTGCTTCTCTCTTTTGATGACCCCCCCCCTTATATTATAGAACAGTTTTAGCAGTTTCTTTTAATATTTTTTTTCTCATTCTCAGCTGTCACCATTTTAGCAATCTATGCAAAGATGGGTGGCTTAAACATTGAAAATGTTCTGTGTGTATGACGTGGGGAAGTATGGAATAATTCTTGGGTCCAACCAAGAACCACCACCACCTTAAGCTATGAAGTCTACATGCTCTCTTTCAATTGCGCATAAGGCAGTTCAAGATGCTTGGAATATTTTTTCACAGATTTCTTTTAATTGTTAAAGTGTCTAATGTTTGGGCACTGAAATACTTTTTGGAAGTGGGGACAGGCTGCAATCTTTTCAGCACCCATGCCAACATATCAGACTGGGTAATGCCCATGTCTGACAAACTTGTAGATGGCCTTGATCTTGTGAGCTTAAAAAATGGCTGATTGTAAATAATTGAATATCCATAATATGCACTAACAAAAAAAATAAAATTGCAACATCCTAACAAACAATGCCATCTTCAGCCATTTTGTAAGATAGTAATACTTGTACAAGTGCAGAACCTGTGCTTGAGCTTTAAATAGTGACACACACTGCAATATAGTTCAGTATGGGGGGGGGGTCTAAAAAGGCAGTCCAGTGTAATGGCATGAAGATGTGCACATGCTCCTTTGGTTCAAAGAGAGCCATTTGAGAAATGTCAGATTGTGAAACTTTCAGATGCTAAATGACTCGTTAGTGGTTTTGTCAAATTGACATTCCTCTATCCTATAGACCAGGTTCTGGGTGGCCACGTTGTATGGATTAACTCAAAGTGCAACAGTGGCAAACTGGATAGCATCTGCATTACTGATCAGAGTAAATGAGGCTCCAGTAGCATGAACGCAGATGTACATTTACTTGCAGCAGGACAATGTCTGTTTGCCAGACTTCCACTTGACAACTACTCCTGGAGATGTGCATGACAGTTTTGCAAAAAGTGTCATCTGAGAGATCAAATAGTTAAGTGTTTTGTAATTAAAGAAACTGCTGCCTTTTATGTAACTTACAGTTGGTTGTGTGCGCATGTGCACAGTCAATGTAAACCCAGTTAGTAATATTTTCTGGAATGTATTTGCCTACAACACATGGTCCCAAACTGTGACATCATAGTGCTTAGTGCCATAAGTTACAGCACTTACCATATTCAGTATATTGAAGAGAATGTTTGACTAAGGCATGTATGCCTAGAATATTGTTCAGTTTGTTCTGCTGCCATTCCTGCAACCAGATAATGTGCTATTCCAACAGTTTTGTCTGCTCACAAGACACTTGTGCCACTCAACATTCTAGGTATGTTCAATGATTGGCGTGGCTGCTTAACTCTTCCCCATGTTGAATATGTATGGGTCATAATGGTGTATACAACATCTCTCTTCGTTAGCCCACCTATAACTTGAGCTGTATCACATTAACGGGGCAAGAAGTGGGGGGGGAATCACAAATGTGTGTGATCATTTTCTGTAATCCATCAATATTACCTTAATGTTTCATCTTGTGTAAATGGAAACATGCAATGTTTCATTTTCAGTCAGTTTGTGATTGTGTTTGTATATATGCACACATACATACATACATACACACACACACACACAGGAGTGCTGAAAAGTTCCCGGCCTGAACCACCTCATAAAATCTGGTTAAGCATAAGCTTTCTTTCCTATTGGTTGGTTTTTTTTTTTGGGGGTTATTATTTTATATATATATATATATATATATATGTTCAATGAGGTATGATCTAATGATCCTCTTTTAAGTGTCCTTCCCTTTTTCATGTCCCTCCCCCCTGTAAATTATGCTTGTATGTGAGTGATCCTCTTTGGGGTTTCTTGTGGCATTTTCCATAATTCTTCAGCTGCAAATCATTAATGAGGAAAATGTTCTCCATTCACCTTGACTGTTGACATTTATTACTGCTTGGAATTATAGTAAATAAAAATGTCAGCATTGGTGAAACAGGGATTAAAAATCTTCAAGGTTGGGGTTTTCTGTTGAATACTTTCACTTGATTTTTTTTTTTTTTTTGTTTTGTTGGTAAACATTTCAAATATCATTGTGTGTTTTTTCTTTATTATTCTAGTTGCAATTTTTAAAAAGTTATAATTTGAATGGGTTAAATGTTGTTGTGAACTTTTTGCTAGTATGCTATATGAAATTGACTCCTCACACAGTTTAAATCAATGTCCACAACTTTAATGTTTTGTAAATTTTTTTTAATTTTTTATTTTTTTTTTTTTAGCTGGGATTTTCTTTTCCTACCAGCAACCTTTATTTTTTTTTTTTTTTTTTTTTTTGTCATACAAGCGTGATAAGGCTCCTCACTGCATTTGAAAATTTCCCCCATCTTTATACAATCAATCTTTGGTATCTTAGTTTGTTCTCTTCCATGTAATGTCCCTTAACTTCTTCAGGACCATTCTGAGTTTAATACTTCAGCCAGAAAAGAAATGGTTAGTTATTTCATTGAATAACTTAAAAAAAAAAAAAAAAAAAAAAAAAGATGGAAGGGAGGTTACTTATGATATAGGTAAGAATCTATTCCTTTTTGACTAGAAAATGAAATGGTGCTTTCAGAAGCTCTTATAGACACTCAAGGTCCTGGATCAGTTAAGGCTAAATTATGTCTAATATTCTATGGTAAATAGAAAAAATAACCGTGAATGTTAATGTTTAATGTCCTTATGAAATCGTGAACATCATCAATTGTGTATGGAGGAGACTTTCATCGATCAGTGAACTGACAACAGCTACTAATAATAAAATGAGGTTCTCTCTACATAAAAAGGGGTCCTAATATGCCCTCTTATGGTTGTTCTAATTTCAGTCGGATCGATGGCGCGATGGCCACGACGCAGTCGGTAAATGCGTCGTCTACAGGTGGAGTCCAATCTTGGTCGCGGTTTCAATCCTGGCTGGCGCCTGACCACGGGTAATCAGTGCTACACCTTGGGTGAAGGTGTTTAACTCCCTACACAAGCCCTCCCTCTACCAGATGCATCCAGCCATGAAAACTGAGTGGGATCCAAATTTTGCATACACACATGCATACATACATACATGGATCTCTCTCTTTCTCTCCTTTTTTTTCCCTCTCTCTCTCTTTCTTTCTCTCAACACTTCATTTGTAGTCTGGAGTTTGTCTGAAAACTTAAAATTAAAAGCCAGAGTAGCAATTGAGTACTTGCTTAACTCTCTCCTAACCACACCATTAAGTGTGGAGACTGAAAACAAAGGTAAAAAAATTGGGTCATTTAATATAGATTGTTAGATTTCTCTGGAAATTACTGTTAACAACAAAGTTTAAATTCTTGTCTCTCTCTCTCTCTTCTCCTTTTTTTTTTTTTTTTTTTTTCTTATCACATGTTCATTAAGATCAGTTGTGAGAGTAGCGAATATAATTACAATCGTTGTTCCCTATTAACTAATGATATAAGACTACCAAGAGGTTATCTACAGGAAAAGCTTTTGCTCTCACCCTGTTTGTGTTTTATTTATTTACATATACTGACAAAAAAAAAAACTTAGCTGACATGCTTTTTCCTCTGAGGGGCTTTATCAAATGTCTTGATAAAGTCCCTCACAGGACGAAACACGTCAGCTAGGTTTTCCTTTTGTCCTTTTGCAGATATATTTTATCTGCATTTTTTACATCTGTTAGTATGAAATAACTTTAACAACTCGCTGGGTTGTATTTCTACTGCCTTTGTCAATCTGATCATAATCAGAACTTAACCAAAGTAAGTTTTTCTGTTCAGAAAGGGCAAATTATGAACAACCTTTTCTTTTATTTTTAGCATGATTTTGTATTTTCAAAGGTATGCTACATGCAACAGGAATCTTCTCTTTTCTGGGAATTTAAAAAGAAAACAAAAAAACAAGGACCATTGTCACTTACAGGTGAACTTTTTTGAAAGCTTAGTTTTTTGGGGGTTTTTTTTTTTTTTTTTCTTTTCTTTTTTTTAACCATAGAAATAAACAAGTGAACAATAAAGTCCGAACAAAATTGACACCTCTTTGGTAAGACTTGCTTTAGCAATGCCAATTTTATTAATATTGTAATGTTAGGGCAGTTATGTCTCCACACAAGGTCAGTTTAATATGCAAGGATCCCTCCCTCCACCACCTCCCCACACACAAATGTTGGAAGGTTTCTGCCAGGACAAGAAGTATGTGCTTTAATCCAGTTATGCTATTTGCATTTGAGAGAAATACTCTTTCTTAATGGACAAGATTTGTTAAACTTGTGGACAATCCACTCAACTTTTATCCACCCACTCAAAAAGAATTGCAATCAATAAATTGCACCAAAACAATTCATAATATTCAGTTTAAATATTGTACTATGGGGGAACATTTTCCTAATAATTGTTTTGCTTTTAGTTGCCGTGTGTACAGGGATTTTTTTTTTCCTTCTAACATTTTTTATTAAATGTCTTACAAATTCTACATCCAGCTTTTGATGATAAATTTTATTTCTGTATTTATGAATTTTTTTTAACTATATTATAATCCCTGTATTTCATAAGAAAGAAAAGCAAAACAAAACTTTTCTCTTTCTTTCTCTCTCTCACACACATTTGATGTTTTGAAAGGTGCATACATATCAACCCTTATACATATATACTGTCCTCTTTGATTTCATTGGCCCTGGGGTGTGAATGTTGTTCATATTCTTCTTCAGCATGAATGTTGGCTTTGCATTTTTATTAGTTTCCTCCTCTTTTAATATTTGAAGAACAGTAAGTTAAGTGAATCGTGATGTTTCTGTATTAACATTGGTGCATGAATGGAAATGATTTAAACCTGCTACTTTCATTGTCATGTCATTTCATTTCACCTCAATTGCCCCTTTGGTAAAGGCATGTGCTTCAGGACTTCTCTAATATAAAATATATTCACATGCAAATATTCTTCTTGATGATAAATGTTTGAGATCTATTGAAGACATTGATTCCTCAAGGGTTTTGTTTTTTGTTTTTATTTTTATGCCTCCCTTCTCTTCTGTGAAGACCTTTACCCAAAGTATAATTCTTATTTCTTCCCCCAACTCCTAATTTTTATTTTGAATCATAAAGAGGGTGAAGTGTGACAAATATAGATGTCAAATGCACATAGAAAATTCTAGCCATTTATTAAAATTTAATACTTTGTCCACATATTTTTATGTCTCCATGCCCACCCCTCCAAATCTTAATCGCATATGGAGACCAAATATACCCATTAATGTTCTGCTTGTAGTGACTTTCATAAACAAGTACATGTTTTCTTGCAACATGTTAGTTGTAATATGCATACACACAGCACACGCATGAGCAAAGATGCATGCACACCTGCCTAGCATATATGTTAATACTTCTTTTCCAAGTCCTTTGGTAATCTTTTTTGCGGAATAAATGTCATGGAGAAAGAAATAGCTAAATCTTTGAGTTGACTTCCTTTAATCCCCAGTCCTTGAAAGAGAGAGAGTTGCCAATGTAATGACAGATTTTCTCCCTCAGCTAAAATTAAAAACCACTCGGTATAATCTAAAAGGTTCGTTAAAAACAAAAATTAAGAGGGGTTTTGTTGTTTATTACTTAAGCCAAGTAAATTAAAATTCTTACTCCTGTTATTTTACTGCAGAAAACAAGTGTGAAAGATTTGCCTTGCATCTAACTGTTGATCATCTCAAACCTAAAATGACTTATTAGTTTATTACATTTTATTCAACCATCTCTATCATTTACAAAATATTAAAGGGGGGATAATCCGTCCAAAAGTAATTGGATTAGATAAATAAAATCAATAAGACTTAATAAAAATTGAATATTTTTCAACTTATTAATGACTATATGGCATGTTATGACTTTGATAGAATTCTGTTCAATTTGTATCTACGTTTTTACTTTCTCTTTCTAGCATTTTTATAAAAAGCTTTAATGATAGCGATATTGTCTTCTGTTGAAATAGCTGGCTGTTTTTACCTTTTGTATGTTGCTATTTAAAAGCTTTGCTCATAGAGCCATGTCAAAACCTGGAATTTTTCTGTGCTTTCATTTGGAATTCAAATCCATATTATAAGTTGCTTAACAAAATAATGTACAACTAATCTTTTCTTTTGTCAGTTAACATGGCAATTCTCAAGATTTTGTTTCGTGCTGCAGTTTGGAACCAATATCAAGTGGCAAGAAATATTTAACTTTTGGTTTAGGCTCACCTGAATATATAATTTGACAATCACAAAGGGTGTGAAACCCAGGGTCACAAACTCACATCAACATTATATAATATATATATATATATAATCTTGTAAACTAATATTTGTTGATTTTTAAATAGAGAAAATGTAAGGAAATTGAATTTTTGATTTTATCAATCACAAATATTTTCATGTTTTTGTTGGTGGAAAAATCACCCATAATCTGTATTCTATTCATATTAACACATCTGGAAAAAAAAATAAGTCAGTGTTCTGAAAAGGGTGCTTCTTGAAACCAGAAAAAAATATAAAAAAATCTGTTTGGGCATTTGGTTGTATTTTGGGATTAGTTGGTTGCTCAGAACATTTTTCAACTGTCTCCTCTCTTAACAAAATTTATCTTTCTAAAGCTTTTTGCATGCCTGGTATTTCTTGAGAATGTTATGGCAGAATCACATTGCCAAAATGCTTACAGCCAAATTCTATAAATTTAGAAGATGAAGTGCACAACCCAGTTTAACATTATCAGGTGGAATTTCCTTTATCACTAATCCCACTACTGATATATTTCATTACTCAAATCATGTCTGTAATTATCTGATGTGATTGGGAAGGTGAATAAAATTGTTTTATAAATAGATTTCTCCATATTGCGCGCACACACACTTCTTAACAAATATTGAAAATGAAAACTTAACAATTATTTGAATTTGGGGAAATTATTCTTGAAAATGAAGTTTCTCTTGGGCTGAAATTGAATCCCAAACCTTGTTAAAATTGTTTGGGGGTGGAGTTGGAGTCTCTCTCATTCTCTCTCTCTCACACACACGCACTCACACGCACACACATTTAAAAAATATTTCAAAATATTCACACATTTCAAAGTTCATTTTGTGTATGTCTGTGACAAAGTATATAGATTTAAAAAAAAAAGTCTTTCTTTATCAGGTACCACACCAGAAGATTAAAAAAATTTCCCCTCCCACACCTTTTCCTTCTCTCTCTTGAATAGTACAAGGGAATACTGCAAAGTTCTTGGCCCTGATCTATGATGCAAACTTTGAACATCTGAATTTTTCATCTTTTCTTGATCATCCCAAAGACTTTTCAGCACCTCATCATGCAAGAAATATATCTATTTGCAAAAGAAAACAATTATACAGTTTTATTCCAGTCATTTGTTGTACAAGAAAAATGATGCCTTGCCTTTGGGTTTACAAAACAAAATTTTTATAGTCAGCCACATTAAGACAGGTTTTTCATTGCTGAATCAATTTATTCAAACTTTTTTTTTCTAGACTTATAAATTGGTTTGAAATTTCAAGTGAAATACTTTTCACTCCATTGCTCATTAACTTGCCCACCCTCACCTGTTTTAGGTATGAATCAATATATGTAATGAATATCCCGGTTATGTGTTCCTAAATAATTGACAGCTTGTTTTCTTGAAAATCCTCAAAAAACCCAGAAAGTTAGTATTATTTGCTAGACCTGACCAGATTTATTCCCCTTAATATCCCTTCATTATCTCAGCATTTTAAGAAATGATAAAAGGATTTATTAATTGTATATTCATACTTTGATAACATTTTTCTGTATAAAAGAGTTTAATGCTGCATGACCTCTATAAGTGTCAATTTACTAAATTTTATCCTATTAACTTGAAATATAGAGAGGATGAGAACAGATAGAAATTTCTTGCCTAATCTTTTTTTCTTGTGCTTTTGTTGCATGATGATGGCTTATGTTGTGTTGCTTGTTGTTTGTACAATTGCTCATGATGCCTTTGTAATAAAGGCAACAGAATTCTATTTTGCTCTTGTCTAATAAATTTTTTTGATTTAGTGCAGCCATTGTGCATGCCTGCCTCAATCTCAAAAGTGAAGACATATCTCATCTTTGACCCTCTGAATATTTTTCTTTTCATCTTATGAAACAAGAGTAAAGTCTAGTCAATGTTTGACTCATGTCATTATTGCCAAAAAAAGTCTCTCTCACTTATGCACTTAAGGGTTTGACCCTGTGATCAGGTAAGAATAAAATTCTCCATCTTGTTTCATATTTTAAAAAAAAAAACAAAATCTAAAACAATTATGTCTGGCCATGAACATTGATATGCATTGAGAAGTATTGAACTAGTAGCCAAAAATGCAGTTCTTTTCATTCTCTCTCTCTCAAGCCAGTTTAGATAAATCCCTTCTCGGTTTACTTTTAAAAAAAAGAAACAACAGTTTAAAAACTACAAGACTGAATTACTTTTTATTGTCTTGAAAAACAACAAAGCTAGAAACTCTGGTTGACTATCACTGGTGACCTGATAACAGTTGTTTCAAAGTTGCTTTTTGGCTGAAAATGGCTTTCATTATGAAAATGAATTCATCACAATCTTTTTTTTTTTTTTTTTTTTTTTTTTTTCCCCCCTTTCGTTTGAAATGATTCTGAATAAAGTCTGCTTGTTGGTGCAGCATTTTCTTTTTTCATTATCATTTTTTAAGTGTCTTCCACATGATAAAAAACCTCAACTAGGCTACAACCTTAATTTAACATCTATATAAAAGGAGAGTGCTTCTTTGTATCCAGAGCATTTAATTTGATTAGAATTCTTATTGTTTTGTGCTTTTTAGAGTGGCCACTTTAGAAAGGTAGTGGGTTTCTTTTTTATACAAATAAACCTGTGCCCTTGTGACTATTTGCAGCAATGGGTTTTAACCTTTACATTATTGTACTATTCAGAGAGAAGGATTTCTCTTTTTTTGCTAACTGGACATGAAATTCTTTTGTACAAGTTTTTAAAAGGCAATATTTTTGAAGAAAAGAAAAATTAGCTTCACTTACATTAATTTTAACATTCTTTTTCTGAAGCAAATGATTTGGAGCCTTTAATTAACCCTTTAGTATTTAACTCACAAGCCCACCCCCGTAATGATTGGCTCTCGGAGTCTTGCTATTTGCATGACTTCCTTCATTATTTACAATGATGTCGTCATATATTATGGCAGAATATACTTCGGGCAGGTTGAACATTGAGACCCGATATTTATGGGGGCAGTTTAAAGGGTTAAACACACGCGCACACATGATGATGCTGCAAACTTCAACTTCACAAAATTGGACCAAACATCAGTTTTTTAGAGGTTTTTTTTTTTTTTTTTTTTTTTAACTTCTTGGACAGGTGAAGAACTATTCATCACCCAATTGAATATCTTTTAAGAACTTTGGAAACTGGGTAGTGCCAATGTCTATAAAAATTGCTGTAATCCAGAGTCTCTTTACAGTAAACAAATTTCAAGTTTTTCCCCTGGTGGGGATAAGTCATATAAATTTTGTTTTATTCAAATTTATGGGTAAAATCTGAAATCTATCTAAACATTTGGTTTTTGTGCTTTTTTTTTTTTTTTTTTTTTTTTAATTCTGGGGGCAAATTTAGAGAACTGATCTTTCCAAAGTGATACTGGATAGTAAGTTTTCCCCGTTAAAAGACACACATACATGCATATATATATTTATATATAAAATGATGACAAAAGGAAAACTTAGTTTACGCATTTCATCTTCTGATAAAGCCCTTTCAAAGGGCAAAATGCATTGGATAAGATAATTTTACCTTTTGTCTTTATCCGTATTGTCCTTTTACAGATATACTGTATCTGAAATTTTTACCCGCGCACACACCAAGTGGACATTCAGGTCAACACCCAGCAGCGGCAGTCCGTTTCCTGCTTAAACTCTATCTTCAGGCCATGTATGCTGTGTTTTAACTCAAAAATGCATTCAAACCAACAATTATTTCTACTCGATAGCCCCCCTACAATAATTTGAATCATAAATGTTAACACACAATGATCCATTGACTAGCATATATAGCCGAGCCCAAACACAACACACATGGCATTGAAATATGAAATAGGCTGCTGCTGGCTGGGTGTTGTGCTCAATGTCTGTATTTATATTTACATATGCTCTATCAATTGATATTGAGCACTTGAACCTATCAATATAACATACCTTAAGATAGGTACCTCCACGAAATCGCTAAAAAAAGAGCATAGCTTGATGAAAAAGACGCCAACCTTGCCGAAAACAAAATTTTATTGTCTAAATGCTTATGTTATTATTTAGAGGAAAGACCAAAGTTTTTTTTAATTATTTTTAAAAAATTTTCCTTCTTTTTAGAAAATTCTAAATTTTGATTAAAAAAACCTTGTTTCTATTTGTATCAGCGGAACTAGTAAATAACATAGACAATTTTAGCGTTTTTTTTTGGTATGACACACATTAATTTGAAAAATCGTGCAAAATAGAAATAATTATCGGATGTTAATGAAACTTTCAGGAACTATTCACAGATGATCGAAATTATTATAAATATAATTTTTTTTATGAAAGTCATGGTAGAAATATTTTTTAAAAATATTTATTCCCCCCTAACTAATTTTATGAAAACGCTAGAAATTCGATCGCATCTGTTTTAGTGATTACAATAATTAAAAGCACAGGGCTTTGAGGAATGCAAATCATGTTTTTTTTTTGTTTTTAATTGGATACCCAGTACCTGAAAATCAGCTCTGAATTGTAACATACAAAAACTCAATAAAACAAATATATTATTTAATTTCAAATGCTTTTATTTGCTTTTTAGTTGTTTTTTATGAATATGGACAATATTTTCTGAAAGCAAAAAAATTTTTTCGATGAAAAATGAATTTTAATACAATTATTTGTTATTTCATTAATTATAATAGATTTTACATTTAAGTTGTTAAAATATTATAAAATTAGTTAAAAGTCACAGGCTTTCATAAGTGTCCTTATGAGATAGATCTTTTTTTTTAGCGCGTTGTAAATTGTATCATTTTGACTAATCAGAAGATCCCCAGTAATTAAGAAATGTAATTTTGTGCTTATAATCGAGCTGTAATTATAAAATACGGAAGACCAACCAGAATATAATTGAGTTGCGTTATTTGAGTTAAGCATTGTTCTCCGCTGTTAAGGCCTTTACTTTTTGCGAAACACGTGTGGAGAAGTTAATTTGATTTTTCAATTTCAACTGAGAAGGTTACCTACAAGTATCAGTATCATCTTATGAAATTTATATGATCTTATTTTTATATTAATCTCAGTTACGACATTTTTCCATAAATGAAATATCAAAATTAATAATAAAATGAATGCAAATGCAAATAACAGTAAAATGTAATAAATGTACATAAAATTATAGTATTTTATGTACAATTCTGATAAAATTTCATAAGAAAGGTAGCTATAAATTAATTAGATACCTTTCTTAAGAAATATGAAATTTAATGTCACTCTTAACAGTTTTATTTTAATTTCTTTACAATATATTTCCCATAAAGCATCATAAACGTAAAGGTGAAAGCTAAGTAAAAAAAAAAAAAAAATTAGACCGCTGAAAGTTTTTCGTTTAAAAATAACGGGTAAATAATTTGTTCACGTAAATGTAAATTATTTCACTTTTCTCCTTCCGTAGAACAAATTAGCCTCATGGAATTGTAAATATATCATTCATCACATGTCAAGAGACTTTAAATTTTATGACCTGCTTTGTTTTATTTTCAAATTACATCTTTTTGGCACAAAAAAGTTAAGTTTGGTTCAAAATATTTTAAATAAACATTATAATTTCTGAATTTCTTAAAATAAGTTTTGAAAAATGATAATTGATATTTAAAAAATTTCAAAGTCAGATTTCCAGTTTTTTTTAAAATGGAAAAAATGGTCAATTTTGCTGACTCAAAAAAAAAACTAGATTTTTAACTAAAATTTCGGACGTGCTAGGAACGATTAAAAATGGAAAAAATACCCCAAAAATACTTTGACCTTTCCTCTTAATGAATAACAAACATTTAGACGATAAAAATTTTTTTTTTCGTCAAGTTTTGGCGTCTTTTTTCATCATGCTATGCTCTTTTTTTAGCGATCTCGTGGAGGTACCTACCTTAAGACTATATTTTTATCACATACACACTTAGCATCACTAGATTTTTTTTTTGTATGTGTGCTTTTTTGCTTTTTTTTTTTTTTTCTTTCTTTCTTTTTAAATTAATTCTTAGGTAAGCCTTTTTTTTTCATAAGGGAGCTAGTTCTCTTGCATTTTTATCTTTAATCCCAACTTAAACTTGTTCTTTTCAGGCAACAATTAGAGCGGCTACCTAGACGGCAAGCTGAAATTCCCAAGCCCCCAGCTGTCACTACTACTACTACTACCACTACCCCAAACAGTTCCACAGAACCACCAAGTGCAGCTAGCTCCAGTAATTCAAATAGCAACTTACAATTTTTATTACCAAGGTTAGAAATATACATTTTTTTTTTTTTTTCTTTTTCTTCAAAACGAACTCCTTTTCATGTTTTAGTGAGCTTTAGTACCTGACAGCATGGTCACTGACTTATTTATATTGATGATTAAAACTAAAGTCACATCTATAAATTCCCTGTTCATAAAAAATGTCTTGATGAGGTCTCTTGATAAGAGTTTTGCCTCATCTTTCTTGAGGCATTTAAATTATATATATGAAGTTGATGGAAATTGACTTAAGTGTCCCAACTTGAAGTTTTAGCTGTTTCACTGATTTTTTTTTTTTTTTTTTTTTTTTAAAAAAAAAAAGCAATAGTATGATGAGGACATGTAATTAGTTTCTGTAAAATTGGCCTTTTGATAATATACAATGAGATTTATAATCATTGCCAGTTCATATTGTAATGTCCTTGCTATGTAATTTTAATTATCTTCTCAACTACTGTACAGGAAATAATTTTGTACTTAGATAAACTTGCCCAAGAATACACACCTCCTTAATTTCAAAGAGATTTAAATTATTAGGTCAGTACTGAAATTACTGACATTACTTGATCCCAGTATTTTAAGATTTGCTTTTTCTAAAATCATTGGGTGTGGGGGAGGGGGATAATTTTTTTTCTTTCTCTCTCTCTCTCTCTCTCTGTGAATTTTCTCCTTTGTCTATAGAATGCTGAGGCAGAAACAATACACAATTCTTTCTTTCCCTCTCTAATCATTTTTTTTTTTTTTTTTTTTTTTTCACACTTTTAATAAAAAGTTAATCTATTCTCATTCCAACAAAAAAAAATTGGGGGTGGGATTTTTCTACTTTGAAAATTTAAATGCAAATTACTTAGAATAATCTAACTATAATGGGATGCCTGTTGGTCTGCTCTATCTAAGGCTTTTTTTTTTTTTTTTTTTTTTAATATATATACCAGAATATTAAAAATATCTAACCACTTATAAACTTAAATATTTTATACTATATAATTTCTTTAATTCTGTATACCGATGCAAATTTTTTATAGTTATTTTGAATGCCATCTCGCTTCAGGACATAGACAATCTTAACCATTCAGAACCCATTTGTCTTTAATATCTGCACATTCCCATGGCTTTCTGGAAAAAAAGATAGTGATCTCCTGTTTCCTTCTCTTAGACTGATTACTGTCCAAGGCTAAAGAAGCCTAGACTACTCTACAACCCTTTCCGCAGTGTAAAAATGATTACACTTTCTGTTTATTCGAACATCTTAGATAAAATACATCAGTCCTGCGGAAATAGGGAAACTGAAACAAAACTTCCCTCTAAAAAAAAAAAAAATCCTTTGAAATTTGTCTATTCTTGGCAAATGCCTAATAAATAATCTACCTTAAATGATGTAGTTACACATTTAAGACAATTCTTCACAGCTAAAATCTCTGCAACTAAGTTCTTCTTCAAAATGCTTTAATTCACTAATGTTTGGTGTCTTAAGTTGACATTTGATTTTATTATTTCTGCTATTTTCTTAACATCCTTTCTCTCAGGTGATCCTTAGCAATTGATACACTTCTAATTAATGATATTGAAATTAGATGATGACTATTAATGTGTTCTTTTTGAAATGCTGCACACACACTCCCCGAACAAAATTGTTTAAACAGCCGGTGACTTTTTACTCCTTTTTTCTCTTCTAAGAAAATGTCATTTTGTGATCTTGAAGTTAGTGTTAACATTCTTTCACTCACTTTCAATCGGGCTAATCAATTTTTAGCATTTAGGTGGAGTGCCATTGGCAAATCATACTTTTACTTTTCAAAGAATTATGAAGTTAATATGAGGACTTCTTTTTTCTTTTTTTCCTTTTTTTCCTCCACAAAAAAAAACAAAAAACATCCAAACAAAGATACAATGTGAAGAATTTACTTCCTCTCCTCCTCGCTTGCTTTATTTTCTGCTTTTGTTTACTAATCAGTTTTGCTTATTTGTTCCCATCAATTTCAATGGACATTTTTTGGGGTAGCCAGTCACCATTAAATACACATTTCTCATTCCTTTTCCTTTGTCCCTTTCACTAACATATTTGGAGAGAAAAAATTGCCAAGATTTTGCAATTTAATCAAGAATATTTTTCTTTTTAATGTTAAAAGCAGAAAATACGTTTTTCATCTTGAAATTTGTTTACAAAAGTAATTTGATGTCTACATTTTGGTCATTGATCCTCATATAGGTTTTTGTGCCAAGCAGAAAATAATTCCTGGCATCTTTTTTTTTTTTTTTTTTTTTTTTTTTTTAATTTGCATTTCTCCCATTATTCATGATTTTGTCCCTAATGGTTGTAAGACAAAACTTGGCAGAAAAATATAAATTCAAATTTAAGTTTCCAGATTTCAAAACTTGGGGGTATTTGGCTTACAAAATGTTTTTCTTATTTATAGACATATAAATAATCAAAGGAAAACTTGTTTACAGTTACCTTTTTGTCTTAAAGAAACATCATAATGAATTATTACTAGGAAATGTTTATATTAATACCATCTCTTATGTAGTTTAGAATCGCTCATTTAGCATTGAAGATGAAAGGGGTACAAACAGCAAGTAGCCCAGAATTCTTCAGTTTTTTTTTGTTTTTTTTTTGTACAAATTAATATTTTCCTTAAAAATTTTGCATTTGCTTATATTTAAATATATTTTAACTTTAAGTTCTTGTTAAATAAAAATTTAAAATCATTGCCTATGTATTTCCAACAAAAAAAAAAAATCTTTGGTACTTATTCTATCACAACTCTGAAAGTTTCTACTATACTTATGATTCCATCAATTGCTACTTACCCACATAACACCAAAAAGTCTTCTCTTTGTGAGAATGATAGTTGTAAAGCAAGTATGTCATGCTATGAATTTATGGGCTGAATTTGAACATTTATCAAAGTTTCTGCACAACACTTTTTAATTGAAAGGAATGCTGTGTTTTTGTGAGTTTATTATTATTATTATTATAATGTACTAATGTATTTTTCTCTTTCTCTCTCTCTCTCTCTCTCCTTGCGCCCTCTTCTCTTATTCTAGGTGTATGGAGTTTGCATTGTCTGAAGGAGATCAAAGCAATCTTGAAATGGACCATAGTTTGTTTGTTCAGGAAGTCCTTTTGTCAACATTAGCTGATGAGCTGCAACCCCAATTTCTGGAGAAAATGCTGCAGTTGGAAATTGGCAGTGGAACGAATCCTGCAGAAAAGATGTCTAACATTGGGGGTGGCAGTAGCACCAGTGGTAATGGTGGTAACAGCACTGTGAGTGGTGGCGGGAGTAGCAGTGGCAGCAGTCAGCAGAAATCCACAGTGAAAAGTAAAGCTATTCGTCAGAGGCCAGTGGAGAGTTCTTTGCACAGTCAACCTAAAGGCGGCGGAGGAGGTGGTGGTGGTGGTGGTAGCAGTGGAGGAAATGGAAGCAGCAATAGCTCTAACAATATTAACAACAATGCTACTGCTGCTACAGGCAGTGGAGCCAGTGGTGGCAGCAGCAGCAGCAATGGCAGTGGTACTCAGAATATTTCAGCGCTTAAACACCAGATGTCAAGCCAGTCTTCTAATCTTGCTTCTCGTAGTGCATCAGGGACTAGTCCAATCTCTGGGCCTCCCCAGAGCTCCTCACTTACACAAGCCAACATAGTCTTACTTTCTGGCCAAGCAGGCAATCTTGGGCGGGGATTAAATCCAGGGGGTCAGGGTATGGGCAACATGGTTGGGGGCAGTGCTACACCCCAGGCACAGTCCAGATCAGCTGGCTTGAGGGAAGCCTTGGTTAACACAAGTTCTGCTAAGAGAAATATGCTCAAGCATTTAGAAGCCACGAAAGCCTCCGATAGGGAACCTCCACCACACTAACCAAAAAAAAAGTTTAAGATGTTTTTGGCGTACATATTCAGAATACAGTTTTTGTGGTCTTTATTTATTTCCTGGACGACGTTCTTGCTTTGCTAGAAAACTTCGTAGCGATAAAAAAAAAAAAAAAAAAAAGAAAGAAAAAGCGCAAAGACAGTATAAAGATGGACAACTGATTGTACAAAGTTGACTTGAACTGCCACCAGATTCTTTTTAGACTTGCTGTGAGCTTTTTGTAAAGTTGGCCTGTGATATTTGTATTGTTTTGCCATGATATGGCCCCACCCCCCCGGCCATGTTTACAGGAATAAACAAAATCTGCACATTTCGCCAGCCGACCAACGACTGGTGTAAAGTGTCACAAATGTCAGTCCTGACTTGGATTTGATGTCTTTTCTGTGACTGTTCTTTCCGATCTTCAATTGTAACTTGAAAAAAGAAAAAAAAAAAACAATATGGGGAAAGAAAAGAAAATGTCTATTTTCTAACACATGCACACCCATACATACACCAACATAGGGTCATGCAGTGCAACATTGTTCTCTTGTGGTCACATGACCAAGAATCTGATTTGTGGATGTGGGTGGGTAACTTTGGCCACTTAATCAAAACATCTGACCAGCTGGATATGATTTTTTTTTTTTCTCCCCTTATTAAATTTGGTCAGCAAGAAGGTGGTTCATGTGACCACATCATCAATATGCACTTGGCTACACTTGTATATTAATTTGTATGTATGTATGTATGTATGTATGTATATTGTGTGTGCATGTGCACACACTTCTCTCACCTTTTTTTTTTTTTTTTTTCCTTCCTCACCTTTGTGTGTATGAGTATATGTATCTATACACACATGCTGGCTGGCTCCCCCATGGTGAGTGGTTTCATGTGTTGTATTTATACATATTACCTCTGTCTTGTTAACTACTCTGACAAGAGAGGGTAAAAAACAATGCAAAGAAGTAGAAAGACATTTTGGATGGCCTACAATACAAGAAAAATCTTATTTCCTTTCCTTTTTGAAGAAAAGAGTTTTAAAAGAGTTATATATATATATATATATATATATATATATATATATATATATATATATATATATATATATATATATATATATTCACACACACACAGATACACACACTGTCCAGGTCTGTTTACTTTTCAATTCCCCCACCCATCCACTCAGCTTTCTTCTTTTTTTTCTTTTTTTTTTTTTTTTACTTTACATATTTGCCTCTGAGATACATACATATATATATATATATATATATGTATCTCCACACACAGATACACCCACCCACATACCAACCAACAAACCCATCCTTTCCAACTTGCAAGAAATAATAATAATAATTAAAAAAAAAAAAACTGAAATGTATCAATAACATCTGTAATAAACATGTATAATTCACTGCAATAATTTTGTAAATATGTGGGCACATGTGTTTTTGGCATGCTGCAGAGGAGTACATACATGACTATCACAGCTTCCAGGTACAAAAGAAAAGGGCCTCTCCCTCCCCAACTGGAGCCTGTGAACCTGGAGAGTAACAGTGTTCTCTCTACCCACTTCTCTTGGGGTGGGGTGGGCCTGATTTTTTTTTTTTTTTTTTTTTTTTTTCCTCCCCCTTTACAACTTGCAGCAAAGGATGCATGTTTCAATAATGATGAAAGTGTTTAAACTGAAATAAACTTGTTCAGATTAACTATTCTTTTGTCCAGGCTCTTACCATTCTCATTTATAACACTATTTTTTTTTTTTTTTTTTTTTTTTTTTCTTCACCAAACATTCAGTTTAAAATTTGTCACCTTACTTCAATGTCAGCACTTATAACTATTTTTTAAAAAAAATAGAGAGAAGATAAATTCTCTGTCTCTCTTGCTTCAACAAATATGCTGGAATTTAACTCTAATTGCTTTGAGGCTTTCATCTACAAGTGATTTAAAATAAATTTCCCTTGAACTTTTTTCTTTAGATCAAGCTCTCTCTCTCTCTCTCTCTCTCTCCAATTAAAATCTTTCTCCTCATTTTGTTTTATTAACAGCATTTACAGTCCCAACCTTTTCTTCCTCCTCCTCCTGTGGTGAAGTGTCTGCAAAAATATATGCTGGATTTATTTTTTTTTTTCTCTTTTGGACAAAACAAATTACTCTCATTGAATCAACTTAGGAAAAAAAAACGAAAAAAAGAACAAACAAATTTTCCTGTTTTACTGTGTAAAACGCATTAAACTCTCCAGAAAATCATAGACCCAAACATGAAGGTATTAACGTATTTAGGATACAAAGTATAATTGTAACACTTTAAACAATCTTGGTCCTTGACGCCTTGTTCATTTTGCCGACAATCTAAATTCTTCTTACTTATTAACAAGATTTTTACTCTCATACAAGTGTTTTGTTCAATTAAGCATTTTTTTTTTTTTTTTTTTTTTTTTTTTTTTAATTCTTGGTTTATACTCACATGCAAAATGCTAATTAAAGTAAATGTTACATGTGTATAATATGTGCACACCTACGTACAGTGGGGAGCTGAAAAGTTTTCTGTGGTGATTCAAAAAAGATTTTGCAAAGTAATTCAGGCAGAGAATTTTTCAGCATCCCTTCATATCTTATGATTTACTGTTTTTTCCTTCTCCTGCATGGTTTTCATTACATAATCCCATGTATTAATCTTAGTAATAATGAAATCTGTTTTCAGGTATGAGCCTTTATTTTCTGCTTACTAGTTTTTATTTTATTATACCAATAATACCCTTCCCAATACAAGCACACGGATAATAGTTGATGATTTTACTATGCATTCCAAAAAAAAAAAAAAAATACAAAATTCCTTAAAAGAATGTTATTCTCATAGCACCTGATCTTTGAAAAGAACTATTAAATTTAAAAACATTATTTTTAAACCCACATTTTCTTACTTTTATTTTGTTTTTTGTTTTTTTTTTTGTTACTGTAGTACATCCTATCACACACATTTCTTAATATTTAATAAAATTATCACATGCTACTGAAAAAAAAAATTTTTATTCCATATTAAAAAAAAAAAAAAAAAAAAAAAAAAAATTGTTTACATTACACCTACCCAGCACTTTCCGACATTATCTTAGTTTTTCATATATATATATATATATATATATATATATATATATATATATATATATAAATTATAACATAAGTATGTTATAAAATCACTACAAAAATAGCCATTTTGTTTCAACACCCTTGAAATCACTACAAAAATAGCCATTTTGTTTCAACACCCTTGAGGTGTTGAAACAAAATGGCTATTTTTGTAGTGATTTTATAACATCTTATGTTATAATTTTTTTATAAATAATAATTATATCTGCTCTACTTTGTATTGAGCACTCTTTTTGAGAATAGTAATTGTTGGTTATTGGAATTCATTCCGTATATACTTGGGGTATATATATATATATATATATATATATACACATATATATATATATATATATATATATATATATATATATATATATATATATATATATATATATATATATATATATAAACAACAACAACCCCTCTCTTCTCCATACTTGATGTTCAAAGAAATCTTTTTATCTTGCAATATGCCAGACTGACAGGAACAAAATTAGCAAGAACCTTCTTTCACTCCAGAAGTGGGAACTGGTGGCAGTCTTTAATTTAATTCACTTTGAAAAAAAAAAAAAAATTTTAATACAGGTCTTCAAGAGTGTCAGTCTATTTTTAGCAATTTTGTTCCTTTTGATTTCATATTACTTTGATCCTTTACAGTCCAGGATTGTCAAAAGGTAGTCTCAATGTTGAATTGTGCCTATCATTGATTTAACAAGACACCTTTCCTCGAAACTAAGTATTCTTATGAATTTAATATCAAGCAAATTAGTTTTGAGTCTGCTCATCTATTTTTGACTTCCATCAGTCTTGTCTCACTAGTCATATTGCCCCCCCACCACAACACACACACACACACATATATATATATATATATATATATATGGAGTAGGATACAGTTAGAAAAGTTCTATAAAAAAATTTGTCGTTTCAATTATAAGTATCAATCCATAAAGGATTGACTTTCTATGCCTCTCACCTCCCAACTTGTTTTAGGGGTCGAGGAAGCTAGTTTCTCTGAATCTTCTGGGTCATGGATAGGACGAATGTGTTCTAAATACTAGGTTGGCAAGTCTCATTAAATTGGAAACTCCTTTTGATCAGATTAAATAAAATCTTTGATTTAACAAGGTGGGCTTATTGTCAAACTCTAAATACTTACCTGGTATAGAAATCTTTCCTATTATTTAAAATTGGGCAAATTGGTGATCCATGTTCTCTAAATAATTGTGGTATCCTCTAGTGGCCCTTTCAAAATTAAAACAAGCTTGTCTCACAGGCCATTGCTAACAAATGCTAACTTCTGGACCCACCCCCCTCGGGGGGGTTATGTTGAAGTAGACTAAATTTGAAATTCATTCAAAAAATTTAGCTAAATGCTTAGATCTGAGATTTTTGAAAGTTTCCTAGTTACCCAATGTATTTTTGATATGACAATTTGTTGAATCTTATTTGTAAATAAATCTCGGGTTTACTTTTTTTTTTTTTTTTTTTTTTTTTTCATTATAAAAGCTAAATTAATGACTCTTCATTCTGATTGGAAGTGGGGGAGGTGGGTAACTCTGTTCAATGATGAATATTTGGTGTTTTGTTGAAAGCACTTGGTTCTTTTTGTGTGTGTGTTAATCCATTTACTTCATTTACACTGTCTTCACATTATGCATCCCCTTTACATATCCTGGCACAAAAAAAAAAAAAATGCACAAATGGCAAAATCAAATTTTGGCTAAGGCTTATTGCATTCTCACCAATTTCAGAAGCAAAAACCTATTCAGTGATTAAATACTTGCAAAATCTACATGGCTCTGAGACCAATGTGCATTCATACACTGTTGTAATTGTTACCAGTGATTTATATCAGAACTAGTTAGCTCTATTTC